ATTGCAAAAAGCCCGTAGCTACCCGTTATATTTAGAAAATTTCTAACTTGCAACTTCCACAGTGCAAAACCTGTGACGTTAATATACAGATGCAAAACGTATCACTGTACACCTGGCTTACAATCAAGTGTTTTATATATACGAGACAGTGTTATAAATATCTTGGGTAAAACAACGGGAAGCAATTTAAGTGAGAGTTGTTTTCATCATTGTTTCCACATGGACTCAAGATATTTAATCTTTTAAAGGAGGGGATATCTAAATTGTCTTAATTAAGATTTAAATATATATGTATTAAATTAATAAAATCATTTTTTTTTTGTAAATTTCAACGTTTGCAATCATGCAGACAAATGTGTACCCTATGAGTTAGAACCTAGCAACGGACTTTGTTCACAAATAATGTTCAACCTTTAATGTAACCCTAATTTTGTTCTATTTATTTCATCTATGTACTGTAGAAGCATGAAGACTATCTTAAACTATTTGTATTGTTTGTTTTTTTCTTGAATTAAAAAATGAAATGCGCGCCTTAAAACCGACGTTAGACAGAAGGCTAAGATTTATGGTTTACAACACCAAACTTTTATGTTCTGATTACTTTTTACTATCATTTCTTTTAAGTGTCCTGAATGATCATTCATACTAAATTTAACTTGTAGATACTTAGTGTTACACGAAATCAATAGATTTATCAGCATAAAGGTCCTTTTAAAATGACATTTTTCTTGATTATATTTTAACTAAACAGTATCAAATACTGTTAAAAAGTCATACATGACGTCATTTGTTCCTCTTATCAACAGAATATTACTTTTTACAGTTTTTAAAGGTAAAGATTTAATTTTATTTACCTCAGTACTTGATAGAGTTTTCATGACTATAAATAACATATTATTTTTTAAATGAAATATCATCGCTGTTCAAACTCAGTTTCGTTGTACATAAATTTCTGGGAAAAGCGACCATTCGGCGCGAAAGCTCAACTGTAGTAAGCTTATGTGGAGACCTAGCATGGAATTGTTGTTGGACACCTTGTAGTTAATGTCAAGGTTACTGTAATTATACATAGAAAATTACTTACTATGCTTTATACACAAATATACCGCCTCCGTGGTTGAGGGGTTAGAGTCGATGACTTCTAATCCAATTACCTCTCTGGCGTGGGTTCGATCCCCGGGAGATGCTTTGGTAGTTTAGCGCGGAGGAAGGTAGTCTAGTACTGGTGTAACTCTCCAGGAACGATGGTTAGGAAACTACCCGCCTATATGACTGAAATTCTGTTGAAAAGGCGTAAAATGAAACAAATAAACAAACAAACAAACAATACACAAATATGCCGTCAACACCTTATCCGATTGTACACTGTGAAAATGCATATTTCATACAGAATGACAGTGCAACGGCTTTGTTGTTACTGCATGAGACATGCCTACGTGGCTTGCAATTATTGCGAATGTTTTGTTTACCCGGTGGCTATAGAAACCCGGGTTGCTACAGGTATATATGCAGAAGGGTACTGTGGCTGTTGCGCACATTCCTCGACAATTTCAGGATCTGTATGACCGCTTGCCGTACGTATAACAGAATAATGACTGCGGGAAAATTGTTAAGTTCAGGAAATATTTTGCTTGTGACTGTGTTAGCAGTGATCTTTAAATTTGGGGGTAAGACTTTTTTTAAACTTCAAATTATGATTTTTTTTTTTATTTATTCATTTATGTTATTTATTTATTTATTTATTTATTTATTTATCTATCTATTTATATTGTTTATTTATTTATTTATATTATTTATTTATTTATTTATGAAACATGTATTATTTTATTGTGTTCCTTTAGTCATATACCGATATCTAATAATTCAATGTTATTTTTATTTAATGAGCCGCGCCATGACAAAAAAAAACATTGTGCGTTGGCGACCAGCATGGATCCAGATCAGCCTGCGCATCCGCATAGTCTGATCAGGATCCATGCTGATCGCTATCAGTTTCTCTTCTTGTAATAGGGTTTGAAAATGAACAGCATGGATCCTGATCAGACTTTGTTTACATGCTACCTTTATGAAAAATAATTTCGTATTCAGTGTTACTTTCCTCATGTGAAAATCATCGAACATGCTCCTTTAAACATTATAAAACTCATGTTTGCTTTTTCTAGAAAATGGAAAATTTATTCGTTATTTACGCATAATTTGCCTTTAAAAATTGGAATAGAAATATGGAACATGAGTTTTTTTTCTTGTTTTTTTTTTTCTTTTTCGAAAGCTATTTGAAATAATGACTTTGTTATTTCTTCAACAACGACACACCTTGACACGTTGAAATATATACGGTTAAAGGTCCCATGGTGTTCATTGAAAAAATATATGAGATCCGGCCGACAGTGGATTTTGTAAGACATTATTATAACCTCGGATTTATTTTACAATGTCCTTCAATGTTTCAATCAAATGATTCCAGAAATGATGTATAGTTAAAGCTATGACTATATGTGCTTTTGTGTGTGTGTTTTTTTTTTTGTGTGCGTGTTTTTTTTTTTTTATTTATTTAAAATAGAGCGAACAACTAACTGTTAATAGAATTTTAAATGTTTTACTTTAATATAGTATGTCAGGAAAGTTAACAATATAAAGGATAAAACTTATGTACAAACAATAAAAAAATATTCAATTAAAAAGCTGTGCTGCCTAGCATGCCAAGCGCGTGCTTTAATATCAATAAATAGAGGTTATTCATGTCTTTTCTTTCTATAAATAAAGGATTTATTTTCATCGAGTGGTACAAAAAATATATTTCATGAGTGGCGGTAGAAAAACTTCAATTTTCTGTTTATTATATTCATTTCTCTCATTTTTTTGACATCGCAGTTTGAAAGACTTTTCCTTAATTTGGTACATTGGATCAATTTAGCATAAAGTAGTACTGCGAAAATAAGGAAATTGTTTTTCACTGCAGCGAAAATAAGGAAAATTGTTTTTCACTGCAGCAAATATATGAAGAAAAAAAAAAGATTCACTGCAGTTAAAATTCGGAAAATGGAAATGCTCATTTTTATATCAATATTTCTCAGTATTTCTTTTATAAGTACATATAATAAATTGCTTTATCGCAACTATCTTATACTTAACTTGCATAGATATTTTTTTTAACTTTTTTGATTTATGTAATTATTTATGAAATTTATTTTTTTTCGTTTATTTATTTATTTATTTATTTATTTCATTTATGCTAATTTATATTTTTTCAAAGTCGATCAATCGCATTCACTAATGAACTAAGAAATCTTAATCTTAATCTATGTTTTAGATAAATATTCTTACAAAATACTGTGCTTTAAGCGTAAGAGCTGTGGGGGAAAAACATTTGTCATTGGCGAATTTTTCGGAGCATTTTTATCCCATTTTTATATTCAATTATTGAGTTCTGATTAAGTCGGAGCAAGGAAAAGGCCGTGGACGGTTGCTTGTATTTACTATTACATCATAGGAACATACTTTATCGAACATAGCATATTACTGTTTTAATTAAGCTACGTTTTGGCGTTCTTTAAAGTACCATGCCTGATTAATGCTAATTTTCGTTAAAACAATGAAAATGTATTTAACTGTAACACGTGAATCTTAAATCTTTTTTTATATTTCTTGAAATTTTAGTTTGATTTTCTTTAAATATTTTGACATATCTGAAGGTATGCATAATTGAGGTTTCCATTTTTGAATCCGATTATTTTCTAGCTAACAGAACGCAGGTCGTTCTACTAAGGTGTCCGTTCGTACCTGAAATACTAGTAATGCACGGAAGAGAAAATGGCGTAGTCAAAATGATGTCTTTAAATCACGATTATTGATCGGTTAAATTGATTTTATTAACAATTATTACAGACGCACAAATTACTGGATGGACAAAACCTAGTGCTATTACCGGTGCTAGTGGGACTGCGACTGGAATTTCAAAAGCTGAAGATGTAGCGGTCAATAGTGAAATAGCAGAATTCACGGCAACCCCAACTGGAAGCGATACCATCTCTAGTTACGAATTACTGACAACTAACACGCCTTTTGAGATGTCTGCTGCAAAATTGAATTTAAAATCTGCGCTAAATTTTGAAAGTGCATCTAGTTATGTTATTAAAGTAAAGTATGTATCTAGTTTTCTAATTAATTAATTAATTTTTATTAATTAATTAATTAATTAATTAATTAATTAATTAATTAATTAATTAACTTATTTATTAATAAAAATTATTACTATATGGCGAGTATAGTCGTGTCCTCACTAAGCTACACGTTTGTAACGTCGCTTTTAATTGGATAATCAAGCATGACGCTTATATAAATCGTGCAGTATTATAACATTTGTAATAAAGACTTTTGACAGGTTATATAGTCCTATATGAACGGTTGTTTGCATATATAACTAGAGCCGCAAGGAATCTTTATAACGACTTTAAAATAGAGCAAATGTCCTTTCAATGGATTTTTGTGATAAATTGAAATCAGCCAATCATATAAATCTATATTAACGTCACGATTATCCAATGAAAAGCGGCGTTACAAACGTGGAGTATCAAAAAGTTTAATGTGTACGACTGCTGTCAATTTATGAAAACATCTCCTTTTTCCCCTAAAAAATGAAAGCTTGTATTCGTAGTGGTTCATGTTATTTTTTCCCCAACAACCGTTTAAATAGAGCCATATAACTTAAAAATTTGAATTTATTTAGTAATTTAGTTTATTCTTTTGATTTCTTTAATTTTTAACATTTTTTTGGTTATTTTTAAAAGAATTCAACTATTTTTTGGTTTGAAAATTTTGAAAAAAAAATATTTCGATCTATAGTGTTTTTTTCTTCTATATATTAAATACATTTATTTACTGGAAACAAGATCGAGAAATATCGCTGGTAAAATATCAATCAGGATTATACAATTTCAGATCTGGCACAGAATTAGGTTATGTATTTCTTTGTAATATGACACACATGTTTGGTCATTTTCTACGTGATATTTCGAATAATGCTTTTTTTTGGTCAAATATTGTCGTAAATACATAAATTGATTGTGTTTAAAGCATCGAACTGGATTTTTTTTATTCGCACAATGTGTTCTTTTAGTTGGCCCACTTCGGATTCTGCATTTTCATGCAATCCAAAAAAGCTACAAAAACATGTTATTTCAGAGCGACTGACAGTGCGTCAAACGTCGGTACTGCCACTGTGACCATAACAATAACAGATGTTAACGAAGCCGCGCCAGCATTTGGTAAAACTTCCTACACTGTTTGCGTAGCAGATGGTTCGGCTGCAGGTGAGTTTACCCTTGTATGCTGGGAAAAATTGTCGTCTGCTTAATTCCTAATTTTCATCAATCTGCTTCAAAATCAAGATCTTGAAAGTGTGGCAATCAAATTGAATGGAATGATGTACGTTGATGTTTTGGCAAGCGGTCTTTTTCAGAACTGTTAACAAAGACTATTGAGATAAATTAGTCAAAGGTTAATCTCTTAAAATGATCTTTTCCATGTTCAATGTAGAAACATTAATGAAACTGCAGAGTTACTGTTGACCGTAGACAGCGTTTGTTTACTTCTTATTCTTATCAAGTACCGCTATTGAACAGACATTAAAACCAGTTTCGATTCCATAGTTCATAATAAAATGTATGCATAACAATTACCATTAAAACGATTTTCATAAAAGGTTTACTTCCTTCAATTCTTACAAGTATTGGAAACGATGACCCCAAAGTATAATTGAGGTTAAAATATATCTGGTACATATGTATTTGAGGGGCATTTTCCTTCTACCAATGTACTCGAATAAAAAAGATATGCTTTGAAATGTTTCAGGTACGTCGGTCACAACATTTTCTGCAACTGATCAAGACACAGCGAATACAATCACCTACTCAGTTAACTGTAAATATCTTAGCTTTTAAATCATTTTTAAAGTTAGAACAATAGCAAAGCCGCTGGCTTATTGTTAGGTTTCTTTTTAATCTTACCAGTCTTGTTCTATGTTTGATGCATTATGCATTATAAGCTGAATTAAAAGTGCTCAAACATATTCAAAATGTATCATTACTAGAATTTAAATATTTTATTCAACTGAAGGCTAATCATTACACTGATTGAATTTAATTGATTATGATTTCGTTAAATATTTAACTATAAAGATGATTGTTTTTATTAAAAAATGTTATAGATTTTTTGTAATTTAACTACAACACAAACATGATGAGAATTTATTTTTATATGCGTTGAAAGGTTACCGATTTTATGGCGACATCCCTTTATTACTGGTTAAGAATGACCATAGTCCCCCCGTGTGTATTATTTTAGACAAGAGACAATACCTTAGGAGAATCACAAATCGTCTGTAAAAAGATGTAATAATTATCCTTATTTTGAAATGTTACTTACATCAATTACATAATATTATTTTATATATTAAATGTATATATAATCTTCTATATTATATTCTAGCTGGAGACACAAACACCGACTTCAAAGTCTCGACAGCCAAACTTGAGGTCAATACTGGGAAAACCCTTGCTATGTCTACAACAGCGAAGTATACTCTTGTGGTACATGCCACGGATAACGGCAGTCCGGCAAAAACCGGAACATCTACTTACACTGTCAACGTCCAGTCGTCATGTAACGGGGCGGCAGCTTTGACCGTGACATTGATGACACTTTTACTGGCACTCATAGTCTCTTTAAACTAATTCTCTAAAGCTTACTTTTAAAATCTCTTTAATCTTGCATGATTCATATCACAGTTGCCTTATAGTTTTTAAATATATTGAAAGACATATGGTTATTAAAATAGACAACTATTTTTACATAACTTTACACAGTTTTAAAGGTCCATTATGCCTCAGAAATTCTTTTATTTCTCCAAAGCTTTCTTATTTTTTGTGTACTTTAATAGTATCAAAATATTAACTCATTAGCCAATAACATGAACCACCTTTTTCTGGTAATAAGTACAATTATAGTGAATAAGTATTTTGTATGAAAGTCGAAATACTACTTGGTTTACATTTTGCTGTTTCTATGACAAATTATTTCACGCTACTTTCTGCAGGTAACAGCAACTAATATTCTCTGAAACGGTTGTTTAAACATTATGAAATTCATGTTTGCCCTTTCTAAAAAGGAAAAAAAAATGTTTCTGAGGCATAATTTGCCCTGTTAAACTTGTTATTAAATGGATTATCAAACACAAAGCAACTGCAGATTTATCTGGACATTGATAACTATTTTATTGACTATCACTTATTATCAGAAAGATTGGAACTGCAACAACAATTCAGTTTAACATATCATTTTAAGTGTAATAAAAGACAATTTCGTAAATTAATGCTCAATAAAACAAAAGCTATCAAAAGCATATTCGAATTTTTGGACACATTTCTTTATCATGACACATAGCTTATTCGGATTACTAGAAGTCTAAATTATAACATTTTAAGTGACATTATGTCCATCTAAGGGTATATTTATGAGTGAACGAGTAAATGTCAAATTTCCATTTTGACATAATTTATTTTAATATGAAAATTCATTTCACAATAACAGTAAACAACGCATGGATTCATACAAAAATTTCGTAAAAATCCACTAGAATTTACCTTTAACGTTCATTTTATATTTTTGGCAGATTTAAATTTTATCCTAAACATTTTCCAATATGAACTGTTGGTCAATCTTCATTTTAATAGTCAATTGTTTGAAATATATAGTCAGTTCAGCTCAACTTCACTATGAAAATATGAGCATAATGTCACTTTAAGGTTTCAATGTCAGCCTGTTTTCCATTTGTAAAACTCTTTCTTTATATATATATACGTATTTTTATAATTTTATAAGAAATATAGTATGTAAGGTGAGATGATTTTTCATTTAAGGATGCACACAAGAAACACTACCTAAACTGTTGTTAAATTTGCTTTTGAATGTATTGGCTGATGTGGAGGTTTATTATATGTAAAAGAGAACACTTTAAAGGAACTCCACTGAGGTCCAAAATCCACAAAAAAAACCCATACAATTTGAATTTCTTACATAAATCAGCTGGGACTCTTAAAACACTCTTAAAACAGTAATATATGCAACTAATAATTATGAATATACTAAGAAATAAATTGCAACTACTCTTTGCCACTCTTTGTCCGGTTTTAGTGAAAAGTGTTGAAACAATAATTTCTAAAAGTTATTTTTAGTCCGGCCATTTGTAAAACCCTCAGTGGAGTCCCTTTAAGTAGACAAATTTCTGCAAAGTTATAGGTAATTTGTGTGAAGTGAAAAAATAAAATGGAGGCGTGCTGCCTTTCAGATTGCCTTGAAAGGAAAATGTATGGTAGCATCCGAAGAGTCTACTCCCTTTAATACTTCGTGTGATGTGTATTTTTCATTGGTGTTATTGTTTGAACAGTGTAATGAAATCAGTTATGAGATACAACCAGTATCGATGTTTGATTCATCTCACTTTTGTTGTTTCGTAAAAAATGTATTGTTGTCCTAGAACAAAAGCAAAATGTACTCAAAAATATACACTGAAAGATTTTTTGATTATTTGTTTAATTATCAGTATAACGAATTTAATGATATAATCAACACTTTTGTTTCATAATTATTTTCATTGGGTCAATGAAAATGACGTCACCATAATGGCTGGTCAGCATAATGGATTTAACTCAATAAAGGATTGGAGCAGTACCTCTAGACGCTTGCAAAAATCATAACTAGAAAATAGACAAATATCTTTTTTTTTCGCCGATTTTTACATTTTTTATTCATTATCGTACAGAAATCGGTGTGAAAAGATGAATTAGACCTTTTAAAGCTCATTCTGTTGGGTAAAAAGGCAAATTTAAGCATTTTATTCAAGCGCCGTGTCCGGTATATATCGGAATACGGTATTTAGTGCGACGCTCCAATCCTTTCTTTTAAGTCACACTCCAGCTTAATAGGTATGTCATTGCGACGTCATTATTGTATTTTATTGGATCTACTGAATTATTAATTCAATATCATGTTATTATTACATATATTGGACCTATTGAATGTGACGTCATTATTACATATATTGGGCCTATTGAATGTGACGTCATTATTACATATATTGGATCAATTCAATTGGTATGTCAATGTGACGTCATTATGACACGTATTGGGTTCATTGAATCAGTACGTAAATGTGACGTCATAATAAGTAAAATTGGTTTAAGGCTATTAGTTTGACAATGTGCATTTTCTAACTTTGCATTATCTATGTATTCTGGTGAGAAATAAAAGGAAACAATACAGCATCGGTGTTATATAATTTATTATATTAAACATTTTGAATGCCAAAAAAGTGTCATAAGTGATTTTGTACACTTGATTTTTTAAAATTAGAATTATTTTCTTTTAAAAATTGCAATGTGCTGAAACATTTACACGTTGTTTCATTTCATAGTTTGAATAGTTTTAAAACTTTTTTTATTGTATTCTTTAAATATCTATGTCGCAGATCGTTTAAAAAAAGGCCCAGTGGTTTAATTTTAGCCTCCTAAGACAGCCATTAGCTAATAGCCATTGCAAACAGTTTCGAACCTGATCTGACCAAGTACAGTAAGGTCAAGTACTTCAGCGTTTTTTAGGTACAAAGATGTTTGGTAATGTTATTTGTTTTGCGTTGATTTCATGAATATGGATACAAGCCGAAATTAAAGCAGACGAGAATTTGCAGTCTTCCGAGTGCGTTACACAAGACGGTAAAAAAATACTCTTCCGAGTGCTTCAAGTGTGTAACATAAGTCGGTGAAATTTAATTTAAGCGTTTGTGCAAAATTATATGAACAGAAAATAGCAGACATCCCCGATAATTGAAATTTTGAAATAGTATCTTATGCCCTTAAAGATCAAAAATATACTTTAAGCTGGTTTGTAAAGACATGTTGCTTGTTGGAATCACTCTTGAGATCTCTTGCTCGGCTTAACTAGTACTCTGGTGTGTATTATGAAGAAATATGGCTGTTACAAAGTTTTTTTCAATCCATCTTTATGTCGGTGGTTGTCTGTCTCCTTAAAGGAACACCACTGAGGTCCAGAAGCCTAAAAACATAAAATTTGAATTTCTTACATAGATCAGCTAGACACTTAATATATGCAAACAATATAGATCTAATTAAGAAACATCAAAAGAAATAAATTGAGAATCATATTTTTGTGCTATTTTTAGCGCGATTTGTGTGAAAAGCGTTGCAACGCTTTATTTATGGGTCAATTTTCACAATTAGAATAATTATTCTGGAAAAACGGAGTGAGCAAATGATCTGAAATTTTGCGCACAATGCATTGGTCAAGACAGTCATGGAATGAAACATTAATCTTAAAAAATATTTTCATGACGTCAAGAAAAAACTCTTAGTCGAGCCCCTTTAATATTCTGAACCCATTTTGTCTAGGATTTGGGTATTCATGTATTTCGTATCGTATATGTTTTTTACCATTTCCCATGCTATAACATATAAGTATTTTCTGCTGTATGACGTTCTGACGCGGCATTAGTGATGTTGAGTATAACATATGTTTTCACATTCGGGAAGTACTTTCTTCAGGTAATAATCTATAGCCTTTATTAAAGTGCATAAAAACACGTATTTGCCTTTTTAAAGCAACACGCCTCCAGATTCATGCTAATTTTCATGAAAATTTTGAAAATGTATTTGAATGTATAATATTGTGAAATTACCAAAAGGAAGCCATTTATACATTATCAATGGCACTTACAAGCCATGTAAATTACCAAAAAGTGGTCAAAATATGCATAAATAGACCTTACTGCGTTAGTAACGCAGTAGAAATATAGTTGTACATACTACAAAATCAGTCATTAACCGCACATAACATGTAAAATATTACTTGAATCTTGAACCATTTTACGTTTCCTAAAATCGTAGTGCATATTTAACAAGTTTGATTTTATCGAAATATTTTTACTCATCTGGCATGCAGCTTAAAAGAAGGAGAAAATGTGCTCATTTATAGGAGTTAATGTGCCTTTAAAGTCATGGTACACGTAATCCATCACAAAGTCTTATCTGAATATAAAAGTTGAAGCAAATATTTCAAATGCTAAAATGAACAGATCTTGCATTCAACGGGCGCCTTTGTATAGATTATAGAAATTAAATTAGGGATGCCTTTGTTAAAAATCGTTGAGGCAATCTGGTTACTACCGGAGCATTATCAATTGCAAGCACTATTTTGTATAATCTATGCAATAACTTGGTAATCCTAATTATACCATGTCCCTTGATAATTAAAGTATCATTAAAACTAAACACATTAGCACATCAATATGGATTGAATATTTAATTGAATGAGGATTATATAATATATTTTGTGATCAATATTCCAATGATTGCTACATACAGTAAGAAACTGATAAAAAAAAACTTACGAAAAAGTATTGCAACTGTTCTTATGGAGCGATGGCATTGTGGTTAAGGTGTCTGCCTCTCAACCCAGGGATCATGGGTTTCAGCCCTACTCGGGTAACGACCATATGGCAACAGAGCTTGTTAGTTACAGGAAGCAGACTCGAAAGTGATTGATATTAGGTGCAAGAACTTTTTTTGCAATCGAGCTATTGAAAGTTTTAAACTTACTGTTCATGAAACGTAATATGGAGAGGTGCAGATTTAAAATAATTTTTCTTATTTTTTATACCTGGTTGCAAGATGTTCAAATATTAAAATCAAGCAAATAACAGTGTCCTTAGTTGTAGAATTGTTTTTGTTCCATCCTAGAAATGACTCCAGATTCATGCTGATTTTCATGAAAATTTTAGAAATGTATTTTCAAGTGAATAAATACTCCAAACTGCAAAATAAGTACTTAATCAAACATAACTTTTATTAAAATCTTAGTACATTCTTTTAAAGTAAAAGTTTCTCATCTGGAAGCATGCAGCTTTAACAATGTTTACTTCATTCTTTTTCAAATAGTTAATTCTAATGCAATACACTCCCGTGAAATATAAACATTGTGACCAGGTACATTTGATTCTAGACTTTTAACTACAATTTTATCGAGCCTGGACTTCTCGCTTCGTTCGCGTCTAGCTAAAATTTCTTGAAATTAGTGTCACAATGGCCTGGTATACATTTTTTTCTGATATTGTTGTTTGCCTGTCTAGAAGTCAAAAGACTTGTTTTGGATTGAAAGCTTGGGTTAGGACATGTACATTTAGATGACACTGTATTTCGTATAATATAAAAAGGAGATTTTAAACTGTCGTCGCTTTCATTTATATCGGGGTAAATCCTAATCAAAATTTGTATTCTGAAATGTTTGCAGATGTGTGCATTAAATTATTTGTGCTTTTATGGAATTCCTTTTTATTTTATTCCTGTGCAGTGTATAAACTTTGAGTGTTTATACTGGATCATATAGCCTGTCAAATATAACATTTTTGTGAGTTTGGTTTTACGTCGCACCAGTTATGGTCATATGGCGATTTTCAAGGAGGACCTCAGATGCCCCTTCGTGCATTAATTTTCTTCAGTCACGAGTGAGCACGTAAGCCAGATGGATGTGTTTCCTTTCGTAAAAGAATCAAAAACTTATAGCATAGCATCTTTTCACACAAGACCTAAAGAAACACCTGCCTGCTTCGTTCATGTATTTGAAACTAAAGCGTTTTACTCCGTCATGAATAATGCAAACACAAGTCATGTGTTGCAATGATTTTATTCTGTATGCGCTTTTCTTAATTGAAAATACGTCAGTTCAACAACTGTACTCGATTAGAACAATAAATTATTAATTTATTTTTAAAAGTTAAAGGATGAAGTAATGATGCTCAAACAACGAGACACAGTCTGTGTATTGGTAACCAAGCTCCGTGTCCACAACAGAAAATAATCTTCGGATTAGATTCATCAATGATTGATCGTTGATATAATAAAATAATTCTACTGAGATGTTTTCATTACCTGTGAAAGTAACATCCAACTAGCGATCGATTGATGGATATGAACCTGTTTTATTTTTCTGTCTTTATTAAATGCCCGTTATTCCTCAGAATGAAAGATTTTTCCGTTTGTAGAAAAGGCAAATATGAGTTATATAACGTTTGAATACTGATTTTGGAACATGTTAGATGCTTATCGCCTGTAGATAGCAACTGCGAATGTGAAATTATTTTGATTTCCATACAAAATACTAAATCACTATAACCGTACTTATTGCCAAAAGGCAACAGAAACTGATGAATCAGATAATTTGCCTATGAGTAACGTTTGGGAAAATCTATCAGGACACCAGAATTCAAAAGCATATACGAAAGAAAAATAATACCATTTCTTGGACATAATGGGCCTTTAAACAAATATTGCTTTATCTCGGTGGTATATAATTGTATGAAATATGCACAGGGATAGGTAAGAAATAGTTAGACTTAAGATAAATATAATGCTATAAAATATACTAATTGAAATTGCATTAGAAAAGCTAAAAACTTTAGATATACTATACTCAAAGTTGAAATAAGAAAATACATTGTATTGATAATTGCTACAAAGTCTCTTTGTAAATATAAAATAAATATGTTTTGACTTCTCATAAAGTAGATATTATTTTAGGTGGTCACAATATGAATAAATACTAAATAGTGTAATTTATAAAAGACAGATTCTTAAGTGAAAAAAAAGTTTACTTGACCTGTAATCAGGGAACACAGCTTCCCATTCATAATTTATTCATTCTTTTTTTCAGTTAGACATATTCAGTTAGAATTTCACAGATTTCAATAATTTTCTATGATTATATTATATATTAAAGATAGACTTTTCATTACCTCATTTATTAGACATTAATTTTTATAGTACCGTGTCATTACAAACTTTACCTATTTGTGACATATTTTTGACATTTACATTTCTTTGATGTTACAAAGTTTCAAGTTTAAAGTTTTCAAGTTTACAAAGAAACAAACTAACAAAACTTTTACAGTTTTATTTATAAAGCGTTGTGACAATTCAAGCATATAAAATTTCAGTTTTATCGATGAAGCATTAACAAGGCAATAAAAATGCTAAGGATAAATTATGAGCTGATTTGATATACCAGTATTGAGGGATACTTTTTAATTTAATTCTATTTAATTTTAGACGTTTTCATTGTCAACGGCTCTATTTACTTCTTTGTTATGTTTGATGTCGACATCGTTTTGAACAACATAACATACTAAGCTTTGTTACTAAGATTTTAAATTTTTATATTTTTTCCCTTTTATCTGAATGTTTTTATACACTTCAAACATGACAATACATGTAGTTTCCTTATTTCAAATGGAGGTTTTTGATTTCTTGTCCTTTATTTTTTTATTTTTTTTTTGGTTTGGCTTGTGGGGGGGTGTTAAGTATTTTTGTGAAATAAAGCGGTCGAGGATCTCGACTTACTGGTCATTCTCATGATATCAGGCATAATCAATCTGGGTCGAGATTAACACTTATTAAAGCTGCCTCTAGTTTTTTTTTTTTTTTTTTTTTTTTTTTTTTGGAAAAACAATTCTGTGTTGTTTCAAACTTAAGTATTTTAGTAAATTAACTTGGAAAAGCGCATCGTATCATTATTAAGCCTTATTCAACTCAGCGTTCGGAGAGCTGTTTACAACACGACAGTGACGTTCGTTTCTAAAAATAGAAGAAACGAATCGTGGACGTACCGAGGGGTTTCCTTTTCGTTTATGTATTTAAACATCGACTAATTTCATTTTCCATCTTAATTATTTTGATTTGACAATCATATTAAACGATTTATCTAAAAATAACAGGCAATATTTAATCTTTAGAAATGCTGAAGGCCGCTTTAACTTTTTGAACAAAAATAGCTTATTTATGAAGGAATCGAAACACGTACTTTTGCTTTTATTGCTTTGCTTTAAAGGAATCTACAGACTGTTTTCTACCAAAATTGTTTCAGTAGATGCCCACTCTTTTTTTTAAAGAATTTAAATAAAATTATTCAGCGATTGACTAGATATACTTATTGAAATTTTTATCCACGAATTATACACGTATCAATAGAAGGGAAGAAAATCTTCAAATACGTTTCTTTAAATTAACGATAAGTTTTAGCTCTCTTTGTACGCTTGTGTGTTGTCAAAATTAATTACTAAATTGTATCCATAAACTTCTGCTCCTAACTCTTATTTATAAACATATTTTACCAAGAATAAATATAAATAAACAGAAATCGATTATAAGTTAGTTATTAAAGGCTTAAAGACTTATGTTGCTCCAAAATGTTTTTTTTTCAGTGCCCTGGTCTAGTTTCCAAAACAATACAGATTGACCATTACCCATTACCTTGGCCATCTTTTGCTTTAATATTTATTGTCGGTAATAATTTTAGTTCTTATAGGATTTATTATTTTGTATAGGAGTCAAAATACTACTTTGTTTATATTTTGTTACATTCATGATTAATAGTTTCTCAATCAACGCTACTTTCTAGTGGTAATAAGCATTAACATGTTTTATATTTAAACATTTTAGTATCCACATTTGCCCTTTCTAAAGATGGGAACATTTCTTCGTTCTGAAGCATAATTTGCCTTTAACCAAAGTGATTATGAATATTTTGAAATATTCTTTTAAACGAAATGTACAAAAAACCTTTGCAACCTGTTTGCTGTTGTTTTTTAAATAACTTTAAAGCTGCATGCCTTCATATGAGCCAAAATGCTTCAAGAAAAAATGTACTTAGATTTTAAGAAAAAAAAAGATGCAAGATATTTAAGATTCGAGTGATTATATTCAAGTAATATACGACTACCGGGCCGGCCTGCGCGTTCGCGCGGTCTGATCGGGATCCATGTTGTTCGCTTACAAACCCTATTACAAGTAGAGAAACTGATAGCGAGTGGCATGGGTCCTGATCGGACTGCGCGAGTGCGCGGGCTGGTCTGGGTCCATGTTGGTCGCGGGCCCATTGTGTTGGTTTTGTCGTGACGCGGCTCATTTGTGTTCAGACTGGGTATGTCACGCGGATATAGGTCACAGACTACACGCGCATTAGTCTGTAAATGTAAAAATAGGAGGGTTGCCTTACGTAACGCTTCATTAAAAAACCTAATCGACATAACAAGACAAATTGAGATAATAATAAAAATCGTTCGGTGTACATTAATTTCATTTCAATCAACTTTTCCCCGCCTATAAGTTTTTTATTTTATCATTGTTGAATCAATTTGTCATATTTGAATATAATAATTTTCTCACACTTTCTCGTAGCCTAAAATTATATATAAAAGAAGAAACGTTAAATCATCTATTTCATTTTCTTTATGAAATAATCCCCACTTTCCTAAAATCCGATCTTTGCATGGCCTAATACGTACTATTTTTACCCATTTTTAATGTTTTCTAAATTTTTTGAATGTATCATGATGTCACTTTTTGTGAACTGATGAAAAATAAAGATATTTTGACTTTGACTTGACTAAAGGCCGATTTTGCAGTATGTATAGCTATATTTCTACTGCGTTACTAACGCAGTAAAGGCTATTTTTGCTTGACCTCCTTTATTTGGGGTAGGGGTAATTTATATGGATTGTAAGCACCATTTGCAATGTGTGAACTACATTTTGTTCACTTTACAAAATTTTCCTTTTAAAACATTTTCAAAATTTTCATGAATCTGGAGACATACTGTTTTAACTAAATAAAGGAACAATGTAACACCTATGCTGTATTGTTTATTTTATTTCTCACCATAAAATACAAAATACCAAAAATTTACGAACGATTTCTTCTAGTAGTTCGAATAACGCCTAAATGACACATAAAATTATTTGAAATGAAAAAATAGAAAATGATCAAGAACAATTGTTTTTATTAATAAATAAGGTCATAAAAATTGATAATACATTCGTGACATAATAATCGTGTAAGTATTGTTAAAAGTTGCCCCGTACTTCAGCGTTCTTATAAATTTCTGGTTCTTCGATATAATTGAGTACAGCACTTTTTAGTGTTGGAAATTGAGAACCGTTTAAGCCGGTGCTAGTGGGCGTTAGGGATGTTGCACCTTTTATATCCCTCACGTAGAGACTCAATCATAGCGAGTTTGCATTTTTCTGTGATAAATGTTTCCGGGGGATCACACTTTATCCAGATTTTTGCATGTGTTACGCGTTATGCATCTAATGAACTATACTACAAATTTGTTTGAAAAAACAATACTTTTTTTAAAACCAAGAAAAAAAAGAGTAAAATGAATCAAACATCGATACGGGTTGTACCTCATCACTGATATCATTTCACTAAACAATAAAATAAATAAAAGATACACACACCACACATGAAGAACGAAAAGGAGTAGACCCTCTGGATGCAATAAAAAACAGTCACACTACACTTTGGCTTATCGTTCAAATAAAATACTTTAATTAATGACCTCTCTATCATAGTTTAAATCAATTTTAATGGTTCCTTTCTTCTCTCAAATGTTTCTTTTTGTCAGTGGCAGTGCGGACAAACCAGGTGGTATTTAACGTCATATTTCAGGAATGCATGTAGCGTTCTGACAATAAAAACATATTTATTCAATATTGTTAATAAAACAGCGTATTATAGTTATGATTATTTTGTCAGTAACTGTTGTAAAGTTTCTAACCATTGGGGAAGCTGTCATAGCTCGTTATTATTGGATGCTGCCACGAAATGCTCACAAACTCTTTACAGTTTCCTCATACCTGTTATAGTCATCTACTTCAACATCCTGAGGGAGTCATCTCACCTTAAGTACTATACTACTAATTTTCTAGTCTATATATATAAAAAATAGTTAAAAAAAACTGTATTATGAGAGCAGAAAATGTCAGAGAAATACATTGTACATTTCTTTACCTTGTTAGGTTAACATGTATAGCCAATCATAGATTTGAATTTGATAATCCATTTTTTATAGATTGAAGTAGTAAAATAGAGAGAAATAAAGAACCTCTAATGAACGTGCAAGCTGCTATAAAAGTTTTTGTCAAATTTTGTAAAACTATTTTCTTTAAGGATATGTAAATATTATTCATAAATGAATTCAAGATATGTAACATGCATGCTTGAAGATTTAGATTAAGCTTTAGAGAATTAGTTTAAAGAGACTATGAGTGCCAGTAAAAGTGTCATAAATGTCACGGTCAAAGCTGCCGCCCCGTTGCATGACGTCTGAACGTTGACAGTGTAAGTAGCTGATCCGGACTGTGCCGGACTGCCATCATCAGTGGCATGTATGACAAGTGTATACGTCGCTGTTGTAGCCATATCAAGGGTTTTCCCAGTATTGACCTGAAGATCTGCTGTCGAAATTTTGAAGTCGCTGTTTGTGTCTCCAGCTAAATATTTTCATAAAATAAATATCATGTTAATTACATTTTAAATATTGCTTTATGTGCTCTTGTAACGTAACTTGTTTCAATTTTATAGAATTGATAACCAAATTTCATTTAAATTGTTTAATTTGTGCAAGGTAACCTGCTTGTATGAATTGTCTACGAACGATAACTGCATATTTCAATTCACCATTTCATACTGGCACTTTATCACAAAGTTAAACCTCTTTTATAAACATTGTTTTCGTGAATGAAGCGTGATTAAGGTACTAATAATGTATACTGATATAATGACGAAACCAATAATGTATACTGTCTTAAAGAAGAAACCAATAATGTATACTGTCATAAAGAAGAAACCAATAATGTATACTGTCTTAAAGAAGAAACCAATAATGTATACTGTCATAAAGAAGAAACCAATAATGTATACTGTCATAAAGAAGAAACCAATAATGTTTACTGTCATAAAGAAGAAACCAATAATGTTTACTGTCATAAAGAAGAAACCAATAATGTATACTGATATAAGGAGGAAACTAATATAATCAAGTGTACTGTAATAAGGAAGAAACCAATAACGTATACTGATATAACACAGGAAACAAATAATGTATACTGATATAGAGAGGTAACCAATTATGTATACTTATATATAGAGAAGCATAAATAACTTCTTGAAAAAGAATAAGTGTTGAAATAATTGAAAACAGACTAAACGTCTACCCTGCAAAATGTTATTTATCGCTTACAGTAGCTGACTCGGTTTAACGACTTAATTTAGTTTCGTCAATTGCGACCTCAACAGACATTTCACTCCAGTTTTAGTGACTTACTTTACAACTTGAAAACCCTTAATAAGACAATTTCTTATTTTTAATTTAAACTGTTATATTGTAAAATCAAGAATAATCACTACATGTGCTATTGGGTTAGAATTTCGGCTAAGAATAATAATAATTCACTAAAAGACTCATGAGGTCACTCGTTATCACTAAAAAACTTAAACATATACCAAATATGTCATATATGACATTCTATACAGTGTTCTTTGCAGTGTTGTTGTAATTCAAAATCAAGAAATTGAAAAAAATTAAGAAGTGATAATATTTACAATTGATCGTGTAGGTGATCACATCGCCTGAATCTTGATCTGTTGCTGAGAATGTTGTGACAGAAGTATCTGAAGTGAGAGAGATGATGCAACCAAAATTCAACATTAAAAAACACTAATATAATGGTCAATGGGATGCAGATGTAATGCATAAAAGTAAAAGAATAAATGTATATTTTGAATATTTAAAAAAAAGAAAATAAATAAATAAAAACCGTGCCTTCATAAATATTTTTGAATGGCATTAGTATAGGTTTATACAAGTTTTCGTTGTTGTGCCGCTTGCTTTCGAAACCCAACATTATAGGAGAAATTGATGTCTAAATAGAAATTAACATATTTTGAAGAACATTGCTTGTTTTTCATGTAACAAAACATTACGTTTTTCTTTATTTGAGCCGCGTCACGACAAAACCAGCATAATGGGTTTGCGACCAGCATGGATCCAAACCCTACAGCTAGTAGAGAAACTGATAGCGCAGGCTGGTCTGAATCCATGCTGGTCGCAAACGCATTATGTTGGTTCTGTCGTGACGCGGCTCACTTTATAACACAACAATGTGATATATTATTTATTGCGTCGGAACAGTAAAGATAAATTCGGCTAACCACGGGTTAAAGCAGCACCAGCGGGTCAAAATCATCTCACCTACTGTAGCTAAGAGATACATTAACTCTAGAAATTCGGCCCTATTTAGTGGCCTATTACGATCACACAGGGTTAAATGATGGATCTAAGTCTGATGTCTCAACCCTCCTTCAAAAGGGAAAATATGATGACAATGATTCTGTTGTATCCATAGCTCGCAGGGCAAAATTTAATTTTATTTTTAATATGAATAAACGACCTTTCAGGTAGGAACCTTCCTCAACATAAATAACATGAAACGTAAAAGTTATTTTAAAAGTATTTTCAAAAGTGGCACTAGATAAAGCTACGTACCAAAATTTTACCTTTGGAAGAGATAAATTATAGATATTAACCTTTGACTAATTGATCTTAATAGCCTTTGTTTACAGTTCTGTACAAGACCGCTTGCCGAGCACTTCACACGATATTTAAGCAGATCATACAAAGGGTTAACTCACCTGCAGCTGAACCATCCGCTACGCAAACAGTGTAGGACGTTTCTCCAAATACTGGCGCTTCGTTAACATCCGTTACTGTAATGGTCAGTGTGGCGGTCCCGACTTGTGACGCACTGTCAGTCGCTCTGAAATAACACATTTTATATTGGATGATTCTGAAATATTCTGAGAGACTGACAAGAATTTTCAGTCACACCGGACCTGTTTAGGTAATACGGCGACTTTCAAACATTACATGTAAGGAAGATCTAAAGTGACCCTTCTTGCATATTTTCAGACATAAACGTGCACTTAAGTGGAACAGCCGCGCACTAGATATATAATATCCTCACAGTAAGGTATCTCAATTCGCTGGCGGGATTCGAACCAACAGTGGTGAGGGATTACTTAAACAAGTCGCCCAAGGAAAGTCATTGTATTAACTGACTGTTTTATATATCATAAGAAACGTATATTATAACCGGTGTTTTATATGAACTACATAATATCGTAGCTATTGAGAGAATAATACTATAATAGCACAATATTGTGATAAAACTGTATCTCAATATATGCGAAGATAAGTTTCAGCTGTTGGCAATGTCAATGCACTATGCTTATTTCAAATTATCAAAAGCGGCGATATAACTTGAAAAGTTTCGAACTTACAGATATTTGATTTATAAACATACAACAATATATATCCATGAAAACTATTTACAAACGTGTTCATGTGTTGTTTTTGTCTGCCTAACTTTTCTATAAAGCAAAGGACTCGTGACCGAAATATCCTCTTAATATACGAATAATTTTTATTCTTTTACTTTTATGATTCATGTTTGTTAAATAGCAATTTCATTTTTTTTTTGCTACTTCGTTCTACAGATATTACCATAATTATTTGACAACTAGATGGTTCTACATTTCTTAAAATCTTAGATTTACAATTCGATAATACATGTACTGTATAACCCAAGTGGAAAAAAGACAGATCGTTCCAAAATTATTTGTTCAAGCCTTTGGCCTTTTACCTGATAAAGGGTACTATTTTATCTGATTAAGGGTACTATTACATGTTAATACCATGAGTTAAATGTGTTTTCTTGTTCAAACATCCAACACTCTTTAATAATCCTAAGCTTAGAAATTTTATTTGTAAACTGCACCAAATCTATATATTGCATATAGATTTTAATTCATGTTGTGCAATTTGTAAATGAAATATAGTACATGTACAAGAAAGTTGATTTTTTTATAACCACGTTTTTTCTTTTTCGTTTTTTTTTATTATTATTATTTTTTTTTTCGTCTTTGTTTTTTTTTCTTTTTTTGAACAACTTGGAAAAGTTGTTTTATAATATGTAAATGGTAGATTTAAGAGATGTTTTTTCATGAATTATTTAACGCATATTTGTGATAAAATGTCATTTTAAGAATGTCGGTTTAACTACGCACTCAATGTGCACAATGTGATGTAATTAGATATATAGTTGAAAGCACGCCTTTTTCTCAACATTATTCTTAAAAGGATAAATTTATGTGCGAAGTATTTTTGCTCCGGATAATTGATACCAAGATATTAATAAGAGTTATTCCCATTAAGCCTTATGGCCTTAAGTAGCAACACTTTTATCTATTATGTCTATATTTAGTTGACAGTTTCTAAATTATTTTTACATGTTTGTTTTTAATAATTTATTTATTACGAAAATCATTTGTTTCATGTTAAAAAATAATTATTCAAAATATATAATAAGGTTGTTTTTACATGTCAATGTAACAACAGAAAGTTTTTTTCCTGCACATCAGACTGGTGTTTCCCTATGTTATGCCCATGCTGGAGATTTACCCTGGCAAGGTGAGATGCATTGTGTTTTTCAAAAATAATGTTATTTCAGCTCATTTTATCAACGAACTACCATAAAGAAAATAGTTACAAGAGGAAATATCATTTATTAGGCAAACAATTGAACAAACACATGGCATAACAGACACGAAAGATTATATGGCATGTTTTGTGTGTGTTTCCATGCGGTTTGTGTCGAAATATCCGTGCCTCCGGTACCTCTCAATGGGCGGTAACTTGGCAAGCCTTGTCATCGCCCATTTGACAGGTAATCTCGCGACGACGGACATTCCCATCCGAAGCACAACATTAACAGAACAAATGCTTTATAACAGTGGTAAAGTAAGACCTACATTTCTGCATATCAGACTGGTGTTTCCATTAGTTTTACCCATGCCGGAAAGTTCATCTGACATGGGGGTGTCACATGAGTGGCGTGATATGATTGCAGTTTGGATCGGAATATCTGTCCCCGGAAACACTTCCATGGGCGGGTCCACCTTTGGACATCTTTTCGGGTCTGAACCGCAACATATGTCAGATATTTTTATTCGTTATGGTATTTACATACATGTATTTAAAATAATTGTATAATAACATTGACATTACAACCTCAGGCTGGAGGGAAAATGTAGAAAATTGATACTTGCTTTACTTGAATAACATAACTAGGTGTACTTTCATAATCTAGCGATGAAGAAAGCGTCAAACTGCCATTAGTCGATGATATAGCGAAAGGCGTGTCCGCGGTCAATAATTCGTAACTGGAGATGGATTGACTGGTACTTGGATTTGCCGTAAATTTCACTATTTCGTCACCAACCGCTACATCTTCAGCTTTGGTTACGTCCGTCGCAACCCCACTGGCACCGGTTATTCCGGCTGGTGAAGTCCATCCGCCAATTTGCGCGTCTGTAAAAACAATTACTTAATTTAATGAAATAAAACTATTTAATTGTTTGAATAAAAAGTGTCCAAAATATTTGAATGCGTAAATGATAACAGGTCAGTAACAAGTTCTTATCACAAAATATATGCATATGAATACAGTTGTTCAAAACATAAATTATAATCAATAAAGAGATCAATAAAAAATCAATATTATCAATTAAATTATCAGAAATAAAATAAAACGAGCTGACTGGTTATCCGTAAAAATATTTTATTTGAGGAGTGGGTTGGGTATGGGGGTCTGGAGCCTGACAAAAAGTAGTATTTGAAAACGAACTACATAATGTGTAAATGCATATTATTATAAATATATAATTTTGGTGACGCATAGGTCCATGACGCATGGTGCTATGTTTGTGTGTGTTTTTTGTTCTTTTTGCTTGCTTTTTTTTTTTTTTTTGCTTTTTTGTAGATATGTATTATTATAGATATGCACATGCTATGATAGAAAAATATTTTCTAACTAAACTATTTACAATTTTTATCAATACACTTATACCCATTTATTTACAAAGTTAACTAAGAAACATTTTTTTTATTTTGATAACTTATTTGTGTGATTTAATTTCTAAGGCAAGATTGTAATCACTTTCACTCACTTTCTTCACTTTATAACATTGCAGAACAATAGAATATTTTTAAAAAGTTTTCACAGATGTTTAAGTTCTGTTGTTGTTGTGTTTTTTTTTTTTTTCGTTTTTTTTTTTTTTTTTTTTTTTTTGGGGGGGGGGGTTGTTGTTTTTTTCTTTTCTGCACTTTTCTGAAAGACTTTCGTAAATTTTATACGCCTTAATCTCATGATATTACCACACATCACATTTCTGTTGAATAAAATTGTTTGTACAACAACATTTGACGCTTCTTCTAGATTTAAATAACCTTTTATGAATATATAATATGTTAAATAAAGTTCTTTGTACTGTCGGATAATTTAATGAGAAACTTCAAGCTTTGGCAAAACAAATTGCAATGAAATGTGATTTTTTAGACAAAAATGTTTGATCAAAACATCTGAAAAGGTTTCTAAATTCAAAAATTTCCAACTTCATGTTAAAGTATAAAATTCTACTTAAACTGGTGCTAGTGGACTTTAGCGATGACCACTACCATTACCGTTCATGAAAAGACTCAATCAAGTTTGCAATATTGTTTTTGGTGGGTATTTTAAAGGAGGGTGTGCCGTTTCTATTATATCTGTATTTTAAATAGTTTACGCAATAACATCTGTCTTTATTTTCTTCATACAAGTTTAACCAATTTAAAAAAAAAAAACTCAATATTTTTCCATGATTTTTTTTCTCATTTTATCTTTTTTTTGTATATATGTATTTGTTGTTTTCGTTTGCGTAAACATTGAAATTAGAAAAAAAACTTATTAGGTCATAAGATCTACATATCGCGAAGTCAAACAGACTGGCATTGCCAAATATATATGTATTTATGTATTGTAGCAACATTTTTTTTTATAATTTTGATCAATGCGGCACTCATTTTCTTTCTTTTCTTTCTTTCTTTTTTTTTGAAAAAGAAAAAAACATAAATAAATAAATTTGTTTAACGACTTACTGACTACACCATTTAGAAAATGGTTATTTAACAGCATTGAAAAAAAATGATGAAATCTTCATAGTTTTATTTCATGATTCAAAATAAATATTATATAACAGCTAAAAATTGAATTTCTAATAATTAAAACTTTATGTAAAATATTTTGTCGTATGAATGATATATGTTAGTCAATAAATATATGATTTTTTTATCATAATTATTTAAACATACCTTGATGTTAAATAAAACAATTAAAAAAAACACCTTACCTCCAAACTCAAAGAGATTAACAGCAAGAACGACGATGACCACTCCCGAAAGCTTCATTTTCACGTTTTAGATCAGGTTAGATTCTAACACAAACTTGAACCTTCTATACCAAACTGTGCGCATCGTTTCTTATTTATACACATCCCCCACAGTTTCCATAACGAGTTGCCAAAACATATTCATAAAGTTGCCAATGGTTTGAAAAAAAAATATGAAATATCGTCAAAGTTTCATTTGTACATGAACAGGCTTGCATTTATCTGTTTTGTACCCTTTTATGTTCATTTTTATTAAGCTAAACAGGTTATAAAATTTGAAAAACATCATCCGGATATTTAAAACTTAACCACGTGACCAATTACCATCCAATCAAAACGGTTATAATAATATTTGTCGTTTTTTGCGTCATTAATTTTTGCAACCCGCGACTTAACAAAGTACTGGTTTCTCACAACTGAATTCAAAGTTGTTAAATTTGAGATGAACTTGTTGAAATTACGTAAAATAAAAGTTTATGCGGTATAAAAGTAGTGTTTTTCAAGTTAATTGGTTTTCAAAATGAAATGCTTATATAAAAGGATAATTTAACAATTGATGTCTATGGTCTATTTTAAAATGACAAAATAGATTGGTTATAATTCTTATCATAGCCAAAATAAATTACTGAATAAAATGTTGAGATACCGCAAAATTGATCATATTTTCAAAAAACATTCATATATATTTATAATGATATTATAAATTTGAAGATTTTAAATTTAGATTTTCTTTGATGGGAATACTATATATTTCTTTTAATCTTTATTTTACTATTTTCATGCGTATGAAACATTTTTATGTAAACAACAAAATATCTTGTACTTTTTAAAATAATTTTATTATCACATAATAATAGTTTTTTTTCTTTCAATTATGATAATTATTAAGTTGCTAAATACGGTCAAACAAGAAATTATTATCGTAGATAATATATCTCGAAGAAGAAGATGATGTTGATGATGTACATTATGATGATGTTATTGCAAAATTTGTTTCCAATTTTTACGACGAGAGCCTGTCAAATCCTGCATATCGTTTTCGACGAAATTTGTCAAACGTTATTAACTTTAATTACCATATAAATTTAAAATACACAAAACACAGAGAAGCAAGTATTACTGGTATTGTATATCATTTCATTTCTGCTCAAATTTCTACCCCAATAAAATTAAACTTACGTGTCCGTACAAAATTTAAACTTCGCTTGATATATAGCATAATTGCAGTTGAAAAGTTTATAAACGGGGCAATTTATGTATAAAAATATTTTTATGCAATTCATGTTATTTAATGTAAAACAAAATAAAGGAAGAACGTATGCCCCCAGCTTAGCAGAGCAGACCAGACATCATCATATATCATAGACGGCATATAATTTCAGAGTAACAAATACATTTCAGTGCGATCAAGCAATGCAATAATATAAACGAAAAAACAACAACAACAACAAAAATAGAATAAAAACAAAAACCCATTAATGCTAGTCTTCAAACATATTATGTTAATAAGCGGTGAACATATAAATAAAATATGACAAGGTCCAATTTTTGCATTTTCATTGGACAGTGTTTATAGCATATACAGAGAGCTTTGGCTTTGTTATCAAGAGATCGATTGTTTGATCCTTGGGTGAGACAAAATATCACTGTGAAATTGGCTCTAATGGACATTTGCCTCAGCAATCACGTGACGATAGGAACCTGTTGAGAAATTGTTGAATACTGGTTAGTTTCTAGGTTAGCTGGCCACTGATATATGATTAAATATATTTTGAAATCGGATTAAAAATAAATAAAAAAAATTTTTTTTCAAATGTAAATGAGAATGAAACAGACTTAATTTTTGCCGTATTTTTAATCAACAACAAGTATATTGGCAAGTCGACAATGCATATTGTCTTTGGACATTCACACACATACACTATGTGGCAAAGACATTTAACATTAATATAACTATAAACATGTTTACATTTTACACAGATACAATCAAACAAATGTTTAGAAAAATGCAAGTAAATAAACAACAAATTTTATACTTAAGAAACAAGGATTTAACAATTCGTTAAGACGATGTGAGAAATGCTAAATAATTTGTTTTGACATTTCGTTGACTCGTCTATAAATTACTCTATTTTTAAAAGTTTAAATTTATTTTTGTTGAAATTATCTGTTTGAATTTATGAACATTTGGTCATGGGATATTTTCAAAGTATTAAATCATTATATTTATTACAACAACGGTGCTCAGATTCAAAACATAATTTACATAATCTATTCTGTTTATCAATCCCATTTACAATGTTATTACACATATTTGACAAAGAATATGTTAATATGTAATTAACTGTGTACCAGTTCTGTCAAAACTGGCTTAAACACGTATCTTATACTTGAAATGAAATCTCAAACAGTTTCAAATTTGGCTATTTATGGTAGATAACGAATGATAAAGAAGATCAGCATTATTCAAGCCTTGACAGCCCAGTATTTACTTCAACAATGAGTCTAAATTTATTAAATTATAATGGGATTTGGGTAATATTTCAAATCCTAGCAATAGCTTATTTAAAATAGGTATAAATTTTTGTCGAAAATGATAATTTTGCCTCTTGAATATATATCATATTTTTGGCATTTTAATGAATGCAAAAATTGAATTAGCATGAGTACAGGTTTCTTTAAAGTAATAAAAAGCAGCAGAAAATTCTTTCTTTTTTTAAATCTAATTTACATGTCCTTATTTCGCTCAACAGGGCCCTTTTGTTGTAATAAAACGGGTTTTTTTTATCCAACAATTATGCAAATTATTTTCTGAATTAAAGATCTCGTAATTTTCAATTGGAACGTCAAAATATAATTAAAGTAAAAAGAACTTGATAAATAATTTGCACATCCATTAACCAAAAAAAACCGAACTATTTTTGATGCATAATCAGAAAGTTATCTGATATTCATTTTTTTTGTTAATAGTTCATGGTGGAGGCTTGCTACTTATGGTACATGCACTAACAAAATGTCTGCTCGTGTTTGAAAGAAATATGCTAATTTATTGCCTTAAAGCGAATGGCGCACGCTACTTAGCCCTACTTAAAATTACAAAATAGTATTTTGTTTCGAAACAATTTATTCTGTTTACGTACATTATTCATGTGTATTAAATAAGAGAGACATTAGATGTTACAGCATTTTCGGGAATCAACCTTATAATGATGGAACCGGTATAATCTAACTGTTGATAAATTTTATTTAAATATTTCATAAGATATAGATGTATACCTTTTAAACAACACGAAACACTACATGTTTTATGAAACTGGTGAAAGTGATCTTAGATGTCTCTCTTGCATTTTAAGCGCGAGTGGGCACCTGAGTAGAAAAATTTAACTTTCATACGATAAAAGAACTAATTATTTCAATGTTTGTGATTTGAAGTCTGCAGCTATAATTTCTCGGTCATGGAGGACTGTCAAGGACTTTTTCGGATGTTTTCATATAGACATATTGGCAAAATTAAAAATATTCAGTAGAATAACTTTAAACTTGGCACGTTGTCAGAATATTATAACAGAAAAAAAATTAAGCGGAAAGAAAGTGCACGTGTGGTCTCATATTACTTCACCGGTGAAGAAATCGTGTGTAATAAGGGGTAAAGGAAGTTGAAAGTATTAAAAAGAATAATACTGCAAACTTTACCTTATTTTATTCGACTTCTTTTTTTTAATGAAAATTAAAAAGTAAAACTTTTTTTTTTCATTCTTAAAGAAATCATATTTTTTTTTAAATAAGTACTGAATCATATGCCCCAAAGTTTAATTTAAGACCGCCTGCGCTATGAACGAGACAGGTTGTTTACCATTTGGTCAAGATGGCTTTTGGGTGTTACATGTTTATGCAGATTATTTCTTGGTGTAGGCATATATACTCCGAACGACGCAGTTACAAGCGACATGGGATGGCTCCCCTCTCGGATATGACAGTGGCGATCTACACTCGGACATTGGTTTAGATTAAATAATATGCCATCGACAAGACTTAATAATCATGTATTTAAATGGTCATATAGTATACGAAACAAAATGAAAAAATTCGTGCTATGATATAGATACAATTACACAAAAGTGTCTTTATAAATCTTTGTTAGTTTGTTTACTTTTAAGCCTTTTTCAACAGTATTTCAGTCATATAGGCGAGAAGTTTCCTAACCATCGTTTCTGGAGAGTTACACCAGTACAACACTACCTTCCTCCGCGCTAAACTACCAAAGCATCTCCCGGGGATCGAACCCACGCCAGAGAGGTAACTGGATTAGAAGTCATCGACTCTAACCCCTCGACCACGGAGGCGGTCATAAATCTTTGTCATTAAACAAATACTATAGTCAGTCGACGGAGAGATCATATGTTATGGACTCATTGCCGGATAAACTGTTTCTGGATTTAAAAAATGATTGGTTAACGAGAATAAATTAAACTGCTGGTGTACGAACAAAAGGCAACAAACTAAGACAATATAAACTATTTAAGAAAGAATATAAAACTGAACACTATGTACAGTCTGAAATAATAAAAAGACATTATAGGAGCGCATTATCCAAATTTAGATGTGGAGTTGTTCCTCTAAAAATTGAGACTGGTTGTTATGAAGCTTTACCAGTTAATAAGAGAATATGTTTTAGTTGTAGTAATAACATTGAATATGAGCTACATGATCTTGTTAAATGTCCACTTAATTCGCAAATAAGAGATGCGCTTTATATCGACATTTGTAAAACTAATGACAGATTTCTAATGTATAGTGATAATGAGAAATTTATATATTTGCTATCAAATGAAAATATTGTAAAATATTCTGCCAAAGCCTGCTTAGATATATTTTGTGTGAGGCGCAATTTATTATGTAATGGCTAATCTTTACTCTGTACATATGTATCATAGTCAAAATCCGAATAATAGTTAGTATGCGTTTGTTTAATATGTGTAATTATAAGTTTATTGCCACCACATTTTTCAGCTTTTAACAATTTTTTAATACATGTATTGTTTTTAAATGGGTTTTTATTCATGATCATGTTCTTAGTCTCTCATTACTCTTTTAGAGTGGTTTTGTACATGTATGTCTTT